CCGTGCCAATTGTTTCTGACGGATTTTGTATCTAGTGCTCTGTTTTTCCTCAATTGTTTATAGAGACGTTGATTGCAAAATATAGATGACAATGAGCTCAAGGTACAAGAACTGGCTTTGACTGCCACAATGTATGGTTGCTGATTCTCTGTTGCCTGTATACTCTTTCAAATGTTCATTGTAATGATTCATGCTTTGGTTTTCATGTATTAAGGAAGAAAAATTCCAGTCCTCCTGTGAGCCTGTTCTCTCTGGCAGCATTATGAATATAGCTGTCTTTAATCCTGGTTGCTGGGGATTGTGTGCAACCCTATATCCAGTGCAAATTACATCCAGAGCTTTCTGTTCATTAGTTCACCTTTCAGTCCTTTCTGAAGGCATTATTTACAAATGATCTGAAGATCTGCATTGTTGCATACAAAGCATTTCTCTAGGTTACTCAAGTCTACTAGGCAGTTTTCACCTTACGTTTTAGAGACTTGTTAAATCCTCAAGTCTGAGCTTAGCTGGAGATGCAGTGCTGAGCACGTACACTTCTGTTTAATGATCCCTAAATGTAACATTGAGCCACTTGGCAATAAAGGGATGAGAAAGAGGTGCTGTGCTCCCCGAAACACTGTGAGCACAGCTGCGCGGAGATGCTTGCCAGAGCTGGGAACGCTGCAGTGCAAGGGCAGACATCTGCTGGGCATATAGGTTGGGTCAGGGAGGGAGTCTGAGATCATGTCATGGTTCCTGCCTGGGGAAGATGGGCGGACCAGGTGTCTTCACTTGTCACCTCGAGGAATGGAAGTTTGGCTGGGGGAAGCAAGTCTGGGTTCTGCTGTAGTGACAGTAAGGGGCTGCAGGAGTTTGTGGGCGTAGACGGCATCTCTGGACACTCTTCCTGGTGCTCTAGGGAACGTCTGGATGTCTCTTTCAGAGAGTTGTTTTGTTGTTCTTGCTGCCTTCAGCCCTTGCACACAGCTGGAGGCAGACTGGATCCTGGAGGCAGCAGGGAAAGAGCTGGGGTAGATGCAGAGGTGAGCTAGGGAGGCAGAGGTTTGGAAGAAGAGGGCAGGATCTTCCAGTGTTTTCACTGAGCAGCTGATTCTCACTTTCCCACGTGGGTACAACCTCTCCTTTCCCAGAAAGAAACTGAGAAAAGGACAAGCGTGACCCTCATGCCTTTCAGTAGGAAGGGCCCCAATTGGCTTGGGCTGCTTTTCGCTCTTCACAAGAGGAGATTATATATACCTAATTGTTTGGACAGAGTCTGCCACTCTGTATGCATTTCCCAGACCTTTGACTAAGGCATAGTCTGCCTCTCTTCCTCCTCAGTTGCACAGGAGTTAATGAATTGCAGAAGATGTAACTTAAGGCTGGATCCTGCAGCTCTTGTTTAAAATGGCTTAAACCTCCACCTGCAGAGCAGAATCTAGGCCTAGGCCTAAAACCCATAGATCTGGATTATTGCTGACAAGGCCAACAGTTGCACATGTTCCATCACTGCCGTGCAGCTCCAGGATATTGTGTGTGTAGATCTAATCAGTTTGGAGAGTGTGTGGTTCTCCTGGAAGCCTAGGAGAATGTTCCCCAATCCCTGTCCTAATTGCTTGTTTGCATGCTGCTCCTGATTCTGGAGTTGCTAGCACTAATAACTGATGCAAAGGCCATAGACCCATGTGCTCTGGAGCACTGAGAGTAGAGGGTGCCAGCCCACTCATGGAAAGAGATCAAGTATATAAAAGCTGTTGACTCAGAAGAGAGAGACGAGAGGCACTAATGGAGAGGGATCAAGTACTGAGCGCAGTTTGGTTATAACCAGAATATACCCTCTCTTGTTTCCTTCTTTTACAGCCAGCTCTATGGTCACACATCTACACCCTGTCCACTGCCGCCCAGCTGATGGCACACCCAATAAAGAAAACAAAGCTTGTGTCTTTTAAAACCAGGAGGGCTGAGCCCAGCACACCCTGGAGGCATAGCTGCTGTGCATTGAGGGGAGACAGCTCTGAGCCACAGACTTGCATACATCCCCCTGGGGTGTGAGTGTGTGTCTTGTGGAGACTTTGAAGGCCAGCGAGCCCCTGGCTGGTTGCAATGGAGAACCTCCTTCTGAGCTCCTGTCCCACCCTGCATTTTTCTCAGTCACAGACCGGGAGAAGAGAAAGCGGGTTGCAGTTGTTCTGAATCTTTCCTGACACAGTGTATTTGGTTTCACTTTCTTGACCCTCTTCACTTACACTAGTGTAAGCACAGGAATATGCCCTTACTGTGGGAGGCAGCAACACCCCACCACTCCCAATGCAGAGTTGAGAGCATCCCGTGCCCAGTGGGCAGCCCTGCTGGGAGAGAACTTTATTATTAATGTCCTGGTACTGTGGGGGAGCCTAAAGCCCCTAATCAGGGTCAAGCCCCCCTGTGCTTAGGGATGTACACCTCGCCTAACAAAATGAGAGGTCCCGCTCTAAAGAGCGTACAGTCTAACTAACGTTGAGATGCAAACAATGGGGAGAGGTGCTTGGGCGGCAGGCGCAGGCGGCGGCTTGGTTACGTGGACGAGTTCAGTGGATGATTTGCAATTTTCAACAGGCAAATAAAGATGGGGTTTAGTGAGGCTGTTATGTAAACTTTAATGCAAATTGCACAAATTGCCAATGTGGCTTCCAGTGCTGCCAAGTTTGGGCTCCCTGCATGGTTTGCAGAGTCCTGTGCGCTCCATACGAGACCCTAGCAGGTTGCTGGCACTGATAACGTTCTGTCTTACCCTTGTGCATGGCAAACTATTCCTGAAATGTTTCTGATGCTGCGCGTATTCGTGGCTGAGCTGGCCAGGGTGGGGGAACTAATTAGAAGTATCTGTGTGTGGCTAGCCACAGGACACTGCCTCTCAATAAACAGATTCAATCATGTCATAGCAACTGGAATTTTGACCTGCGAAGTGCGTGGTATCTTGCTCCATGCGGTACACTAGCTGCGGAGCTCCATACCGCACTCGCATGGCAGCCTGTGCACAGGCAGGACAGCTGGAACACTGCATCACGTTGCCATGGTGAAACGGCAACTCTCGCACAGTTAGAGTTGTACGCTGCAGTGTCGCACGCTCCAGATGTGTAGCAAGGAACAAGGCGCCTGTGACAGTCCTGTGCACAGTTACATGTGAACCTCGGAGCCTGCGTTGCTGGTGCCACTCGTTGGCACATGCACCTCAGTCTGGAGGGCTTGTCGCTGCCGTTACAGAATCCACACGGCCTGCCTTGGGGGCCGTTAACCTGCCATTCCAGCGATTTATTGTGCGTTTTAATGGACTTGGTTGTGCGCTGTGGCTGTCTGACTGATTTTTATGTGTCCTTTCACTCAGGGTATCTCCTTAACTCCCTGATGGCATTTCTGATGTATGAAATAATTGGGCATCCCTCCCAAAAGTGGCTCTTGAATTGGGAAGTAATAGGTTGTTTTTATACATAACTAAATATTTGGAACCTCTTCCAGAGGTTTGCAAATACCACCTTTTCTGTAACAAACAAGGATTTTTCTAGGCCTGGGAAGGCACAGACCATGGGCCTGACAGAGCACTGGACACTTCCTGCCTTTTTCTATTGGGGCCCCACAGCAAATAGCTCTGGTAGCAGTTGTCTCTGAACTCGACGTCCATGTCCCTGAGACAGAAGGTGAGAGAAGTTAGAGAAGGAAATGGCCACATACAGGGGTCAGAGCAGGCCTGGCCCATTTTCTAGTGTTATATTCAGCCCAGTGAAAAAATACAATAAATATTCCAAGTGACAGAGCTTCCCTCAGAGTCGGGGGGCCCCTCAACCTGGGGTCATGACCTCCAGCAGTGTCACAAACAAGGTCAGGGGATTGTGACCACCCTGCCCTCCCCTCACTGCTGGGTGGGGGCTCCTGGCTAGATGTGGGGTGGGGAGGGCGGTTCCCAGGTTACTGTATGGAAAAGAGTCAGAACTACTGCTCAAGGGACTGACCGTTCTATGGTCTAGATCTCACCATCAGGGCAGCCTAAACTTCTGGTCAGTATCACCGTTACTGATCAGGGAGATGAGAGCATGAAGGCCAGTTTAAAATATTATTATCCAGGGCTGTTGCACATGTTACAGGATCTTGAAGCCTTGGCTACACAACAAGCTGCATTGTTTTAACTAACGGCATGATTTTTAAGTGATTTAGTTAATCCGAAGCAAACCAATGTGGACACGCTTATTTCAGATTAAACCAGGTTTATTTCAGTTTAAATTTTAAACTATGCCAGGCAGCCCATATTGGTCCATCTGCAGTGCTATTTGGCAGAACAGTGCCAGTTTATTCTGTGCCCCCAGGAGTGGGCGTTGAAGCCCCTGATAGTTGGCTGCAGTGTGTCTTTTCGTTTGGTCTATGTGAGGAAACACAGCTGCAGAGGTGCCTGATGCTTTGTATGGGCATTTGCGGAGCCCTGAGCTGGGGCTTACATTGTGGTGTTGCTCGGAGAGCTGCAGCAAGTAATTACCGGCCTGGACGGGTAGGGCGGCATGCGTTCAGACACACTTCCTATTGTGCCGTGAAATGGCGGCTTAGCACACCAGCCAGCGTAACTCTGCTTTTCTCTCCAGCACCTTCGTTTATATTTGCACTACTGCTCCTCTCCAGAAGCAGCAAGAAATGATTCCACTGAGGATAACTGTAATTATCCCCTTATGTGATCTTCTTCTTCGCTCATGCCTAACAAATGTGTTTTCTATTAAACAGAGCAGCTCTGTCATGCGGCATGACCTATCTGTTAAATTGCAATAGGCATCCAAAAGTGACACCATCATACATTAAAAAAATCATCTAATTACACAACACAACAATGGCTGCACTCCCTGTCGCTGTCTATAGCCTGGTACATTAGTACTGGCAAAAGCCAGTAAATAAAACCTGTTTCTTTCTGTGTATTGCTCTCTGCAATTGGAAGCAGTGTGCAGCACACTCCCGGCTTTCTGCTATTTCTGGTGACAAGCTGTTCCTGGTTGGAGGATTCCAACGCTCATTTTTCTGCACAGAAGCTCTTGGGCTTGGATTTGAGCTTTGCACCTGGGCAGGGGAAATGTCTCCTCACATGCTGAGAGAGAAGGTGCAGCAAGTAAGAGGTTAAAAAAATGCTCTGGCTGCAGCTTTAAAACTTAACATGGAAGGTATCAAACTGAATTGGGTAGGAGGTTCCTTGTCTGGCACACGCCTTGGCAGCACAGCGCTATCTGATCTCAGAGGCAATCAGACACTGGCTGGATTGCAGGAAGCTGCCCTCCGGCAGTCAAGTCCTAACTCTGAGAAGGGCTCAGATCCCTGACGTCTCAGGGGCAGTGTGCAGCCGGGCACAGCTCAGGAGCACCAGGGGGTAGAGTGGGTGGTGTTGTGTTCCTGGAGATAAATACATTCTTTCCCTAGTTTGATTTTCCTAGACAGTCAGCTAGGGGGAGAGTGAAGGATGCAGTTTGGGAGATGAGTGCCACCAAGGAGGACAGCCGGTGTCTGAAAGCAGTTCGGATTGTCACTGACCTGTGCCGGAAGAAAAGCCTGCCCAGCCTGGATTTGGACACCTGCAGGGGGTTCCTCCTCCTGCCTTCAGACCAGAGCCTGAGTATCTCGGAGCCAGGTACAGTAACCCCTGCCCTGCAGGGCTGAGCTCTTCCTGTAGGTAAGACAGCTACCGCACACCAAGAGCCAAGGTAGACTGGCATGGGAGGTGACTTCTCCAAAGCGACTGAAGTTGGCACAGCTGTGTAGCTAGCAGCACTGATAATCCCCTAGCTAGGAGCTGAGGGGCTGGGTCTCTGTCCAGAATTTATCTCCATCTCTGTGTATATGTTGCCATTGACCCCCCCCCATCCCGTAGTTCCACTGTCATGTTCTGTCTGGAAATTCCAAGTAACCTGTTGCAAGTTGGAAGTTCTGGAGCTAGCAGCTGTGAGGACAGCTAGAATGGAACTGGAGAGGGAGGGGATATTACCAATGCAAATAACAGAGGCACAGTCATGCTGCAGAGAAGTTTTGTCTGTTAAAGTTTCTGTGAAAGTCCCATGTTGTACTGACAAGTTAGATACTTATAGTAAACACAGCAGTGGTTTTAGTGACCAGAGTGGTCTGAAGTGTTTGTCCATATCTCTATTTAGGAGGACAGGAAGGGCTTGAATCGATTTGTTTAACTAATGAGGCATTTAAAAGACTTTTCTGTATCTGTTTGCTAGCAAAAGCAAACGCAGTTGTAGTTTCACATCTGTCCCCAGTTCGTCCTTGCCAGCTGGCTAACACGAGAGGGACACCTGGGCATTTCCGAGATGCACTCTGTGTGGGCGCTGCAGCTCTAGCAGCAAAGGGGTATTTCACCCTTTAAGTGAGGTCAATTTCCTGGATCTCTCTGCCTGTCAACTGGCAATTCCAGGGGCTTCTAGATTAAAGGTCTCATTGCAGAGGAATCCTTGCACTCCACCTCCACAGTTCAGGAGATCAACCAGGCAACCTCTTTTGAGGTTATAGTGCCGTATTTGAGCACCATCCTTTTTTGGAATGCGGCCAGTTGCCCACAAAGTGCAGAATCCGTATTCAGCAATATCTGTCAGCTGCTGAGAGTCTTTTAACATCTTTAAAGAGAACGTTCTGCCATCACCAGTACGCAGCCTGCACAGATTGTGTTAGGCAGTTCTCACAGACTTCTTGGGCCAGATTCATTCAGTCCAATGGCGTGATCCCCGGGACGGGTAAGTATTTTGCTACATTGTTTCTTGTTCTTTTAAACAATTTAATCATATTTAAAAGCATCACTATTGTTATTATTTAACACTTACATGGTGGTGGTGCCTGAGCCCCCATTGTGCTCGGTGCTATATAAACACATTCTGTCTCAGAGCATCTCAAATCCTGCCAGCCTTGCCGGCTGGTCCTGGTGCTGTGCTCAGAACAGGCTGGCAGGGCAGTCATTGTAGCCTTATTAAACAGGGCCTTTTGTGTTCAGCACAACCTGTGCAAGGCGCCAGCGTACAGGGCAGTGGGAGAGTCGCGTGCCCATCTCCTGTTTTGTGTGTGCACTGTGCAGGCTGTGTGTAATAGCTCTGCCAGACATCACGTCTGTCTACATCTTTCTACTGCCCACAGCACTACACTGTTAGCATGCCAGTCGGAACTGATGTCTCTATCTCACAGCTCCTTATTGGATAGGGTGACCAGATGTCCTGATTTTATAGGGACAGTCCCTATATTTGGGACTTTTTCTTATATAGGATTCTATTACCCCCGACCCTCTGTCCCAATTTTTCACACTTGCTATCTGGTCACCCTATTATTGGAGTTTCTGCGTATTTGTAAAGCATAGTATTAGGGATTGTTGGTTTAAAACAAGCCCTAGGCTAAACCTGCGCTGAAGGGGTGAAGTGAGTCTGTTAGGAAAAGGTTACATTTCCCTGGTTTTGGCCATAAGCGGAATTACTGAAGTCTCACCAATTTTCTCAATTTGAGCTGCAGACCCTGGGGACTGGCACTGGTCTCTGCCAAGAGAGGGCCTGTACCCCCCTGCCGGAGCAGGGCAGCATGCAGCTAATGGGTCCTTCGGCCTGAGGCAAGGTAACACATCTGTGTCCCCAGGGCAGTGCAGTGCGCTGGCTTAGGGCTCTCGGATCTTGCTCTCAACCGTAGGAGATGCTGGGGTGGGGGTGTACAGTAGAGGGGGACCCTGCAGAGCCTGCAGGAGGATGGTGCCACCATCTTCCACTCAGCTGCTCCTGCTCCACTTCCCACGGCAGCCAGCACGTTCCCCATGTGCATAGGAGCAGAGTTTGCGCTGATCCTATCTGCGTGTTTTAAGTAAGGCAGGCGTGCTGCACTGGAGTCTCTCTCCATTGTGTGTGTGTGTGTGTGTGTGTGTGTGTGTGTGTGTGTGTCTATCTGTCAGTCAACTGCTGTTTGGGGCTACGTACCTGTATGTTAATTCTAGTCACTAATGTTACAGTGGCACGAAGCTACCTGGTCTTTATCCATCAGCCATTTAAAACCCCATTAGTCCACACACAGGGAGAACTGCATGCAGTTTTTCCTTGCAGTGGCCTGTCCCGTTTTAACCGTTCTCAGCATTATACCCTTTCGAGGGTTAAAAACTCTGTCTGATTATGACTGCAGTGTTCCTAGCTCAGAGTGGAGCTACATCATGTATATGAACCTGGCTATGGGAGAGGATCATGCTGAGCAGAGGGCATGCTAATAGCTGCTACCACTGTCTCTGCTCGCTGGTCCCTGTGTGGGGCAGGCCAGGGCTATGTGTATGCCTACGGAGCATTCAGCACGCTGACTGGTGCCTAGCTGAGCTGGTAGGGCTAATTCCAGAACGTCTGACTGCAGAACTTCTCCAGCCCAGCAAATGAGCATATTTGCATACTGAGCTGAGTACAAGCAGCTGCAATTTCTCTCAGGCCTTCACTCTGATAAGAAACTTCTCCCAACTGCTACTGTTTATTATTTGTAGTATGCCTTAGTTCCTCTCTGAACTGTCTTAGCCTGCCTGCTACACATTTTGCATTAGAGACTTATAACCTGGGATATTGGGCTCAGATCTGGTCACCTCTCCTGCATGAGGATGGAGCACAAGGCGAAAGGGTCCAGAGGTGGCCAATGAAAATGCTGTGTGCAGGGAGAGTGCTAAATGGGGAGAGGCTGAAGGAAGAGACTGTGCAAGTCAGAAGGAAGATGAATGGGGGGGCCATTAGTGTGGTGTTTACACGAAGGAATGGTGTAGAGCAGGTAAACTGGGCTCTTCTGTTTACTCTCTCTCATTGTGCGAGAACAAGGAACACCCAATGAAAAGATAACATTTAAAAGTGATGGAAGGACGCATGTTTTTACACAATGTTTAACATTCTCCTCCACTCCGCACTACAAGGTGTCACTGAAGCCAAGGGCTTGGGAAGATTAAAAATGGATTAGACATTTATATGGATAAATGAGAAAATCTAGTTCCAGTAGAGAGGATCAAATGTTTATAGGGGATATTAACCTTCCTGATTCGAGGCATAAACCAGTCACTAACTGACGGGGGTTAGGGACATGCTGCCGCATAATGGGCTATTCCACTAGTGGTGCTGGCTGCTGTTGGAGGGAGAATACTGAGCTAACTGGACGCCCGGTCGGACTTCTGGGTTCTAGATGCTCTTGTTTACACGTTGCACTTGGAACACACAGCCCCCTTTCTGGTGTACGCCCAATGAACTTGGGTATTTAGCCCATCTCTGACTTGGGGAATGGTAGTTCTGCTTATTCTGCACCACATAGGCTCATTTATCAATCCAGCACAGAACAGACTGAGCCAGACAATCTTGTGTGAAGAATCAGATCCAAGCCCCAAGCAGAAGCCTGCAGGTCGTATGGTAAAGACAATAAATATAACAGTTGGTGCAGTAATGGGGAGGCAGCAGCTGCAGGACTTTTCTTATGCGTTACCTGTTGTCACCGAGACAAGACTGACTCCTTCTCTAATTACAGCATCTCTGGAGCCATTTCTCTATCCGAGTTTGATAGTTTGGGTCAATCTGTTAACCAAGGAATAAATCAAGCAGCGTTTGCAGTTTCTGTATCCGTTTATCTATCAGTCTTTGATTTGCTAAGTGCAAGTGCAGCACCTTTTGTTAGACTTGAGAAAGAAAACTGAACTAACACTCCAAGGCTAGGAGCCATGGCTGTTCTGCATGGCTGCTCCTGCTTGTCACCCGACCTGTAGGAAAGAGTGGATTCTGGGGTGGGCTTTCATAAGCCAATGGAGAGCAGTGTGTGCTGGGCAAAACTGCAGTTACACAGCAAATGGCCAGCCGATCCTAACCCTGTTCAAATGCTGCTGGTTGCCCTGGTCAGTGCCTAAACCTGTGAAGGCAGAAACCTTTGCCAAACGGTTCATGAGCTGGAATAATCGAGGATAAGCTGAGCAGGTTTTTATGCAGGGAACCTTTGTTAATGTGCTTTGGGGTGTGTGCGAAAGGTGCTACAGTATATAAAAGCAGATGCTGTTCAATTGTATGCACTTAGGGTTATATATCAGCTATTTCTCCCCTATTCAAAGTGCACAGGTTAATGCAGCTGCAGCATGTTCCCAGTCCATTCTGCAGTGTTGTTTACACAGCAAAGGCATTCTGCAGGCTGCTGCTGGCTAATACTGCAAACAGATCATTAAGTCAGTTAGAAAAATCAGGGATCTGAATGGGAATTTAGCAGGGGAGAGCATCACTTTGCTTTGTCTGCCTCAAATCCCCCCTGCAGCTCTGGAAATCCTGCTTCCCTTCAAGTCTGAAGCTGTTGTGCAGTGGTGCTCTGAGCTGTTAAACAGCTCATCTTGGTTCACCCCAGGGACAGCCGCATTTAATGCTGGCAGAAGTGAACTCTAAAATATCAGTTCATCTTTATCATAGCACTTGGATACCCCGGTAATAGGCACCTTAGCTGGTGGATAGATGGGTTACCTATCTCACTGTGGCAGTGTGAGGCTTAAAGTTAGCAGAACACTTTGAAATACGGGGGAACAGGTCCCAGAGAAGTGCAGAATATCTATTGTTGTTTGTTTGTATGGCTCTGGAGTCGGGATTGATGCCCGTTGTGCTAGGTGCTGGACAGACGGCCAGTGAG